GTTTAAACAACTCTATTAAATACGTTTTTGTTAAACAATAATACCTCTTCCGAGCAATATATATATATATATATATATATAGAAAATCACATTATTTAAATAAGATATAAAACCTACTATAACAATTAATACTTTAATTTTATTCAACATTATAGTAACCAGTAGTACTTTTTAAATAAACAAAATAACTTTAACAACAGTTTGTTTCTTAGGAAGAGCAGTGTAATAACTACACATCAATAAAAATATGAAGTTCAAATAGACGAATGTGAATCCCACACATTTTTTTTAAACAAAAGAAAACATCTTCTTAAAGTTAAGGATATTAAAAATCATTTGAAAGACACAAAAATCGTTTTAGGTACAGTTAAACCAGTAAGTGTTTGGTATTTCCTGAAAATAAATTTTTATTTTAATATATTCTTTTTTTTATAACTAAACTGCTTTGGTTAGGAGAATGATCATCCTTTGATTTTTTTTATGATGCTCTAAAACCAAAGTTCAAAAAATAAGTTATAATTACAATTATAATTCTGGAGTATCTGTAATCAAGTATAGAATAATCACAATTAAAAGTACCAATGAGTTTTAATCAATTGACAAAAATACAATTTTAGAAGTTACAATGTTTCTTTAGCAACTGTTAGAATGTTCATTGTTAGAATATTATCAAAATTGTTACCAACGTTTGGAATGATAACCGTCAAAGTTCCACTATGTATCAAAAATTAACTAATCACTGCTAAAAGTTCCGATGTTTCTTTAACAATTGTAGAAATTATCATTAATAATTGTAACATATATATATATCAAAAATATTTTTATGCAATTTTTCCAGAAAACTAACTGTAGTATGAATTACAGAATTATGTAGCCATCATAATTCTACATTAAAAGTTTCAAATCATTTGATATTTTAGGAGGAAAACCTGTCAATATAGTTCCAATTATATCTGCATTAGTTTATGACCCTTTTCTGGTTGAAAACACTATGATTAGGATCACTACAGTTAAAAGGATTATCCCGATGACAAACAAGATGATCTTCTTCTGCACATGGTCAATTAGAAATCATGTAAAGAAAGAATAACAAGCAGAAATAAATACCAGAAAAATTTCAATAAAAAAAAAACTAAACATAATCTAAAAATGTAGAAAAAAGTAAGTAGAAAACTCAATTAATAAAATAACAAATTATAGAAAAACCTATATATATCTTCTTGTAAACACATGTTAATTGTGACAGTAGTTTTGATTGAATCTTGAAATTAATTTCGTCAACTGTTACTGTGATTTGAGAGTAGCAGTTATTTGGAAAGTTATAGTGTAAAACATAAAATAAAAGCCATATTCAAGTAAGAAAAAAGCTAATTATTTAATGCGACACAGTAAAGAAACAAAATAATACTTGAAACTAAAATGAAGTCTAGAATTAAACAATAAATAGATAAAAAAACGTTAAATGGGTAAGTTCCTGCTATTCAAATAATGAAATCTGGAAGGATAGTAACCAATATATCATAATGTCCTTCTAACAAAAAATTCTTCCTCAGATCAATTTATTTTATTATGTATTTTATTAACAGTTAATATATTTTCAGGTATTAACTGATTTGAGTTAATACCTTAAGCATTTCTGAAAATATCAGGAATATTCAAAAGTATTCATATATAAAAAAAAGATTTAACAACCACTCTGCAAGTCAGAGAGAATTTTTAGTGGGTTGACACTGATAAAAAGGCTTTCCAGTGCTCTCCTTTTTGAAATTCAAAACACAGATTTGAATCCTTTGTGATATCTGGAACATAAATTGCACATCAGCATGGCCGAATTTGCACTAGTTTCCATACTATGAGGGAGTAAAGCCAATAATCTAATCCAATCTCTCACAGAAAACGTGATATTGGCTGCACATGTTGCGCAACACAAGATCTGGTTGCTCAGCTCTAACTAGACGTTTCCTCTGCAGTTTTCGTGAGTTTTGTCGATTGAAATAGTGGAGAAAGGCTCAACCTGCCGCTGTACTTCTACTATTTTATGCAAGATTAACACAGTCCTGCCAACCCCCCAAAACCCCTCATCTTCATGTCCAAACACCATTAAGATGTGAGATCTTTTTTGGTAGTAAAGTGTAGTTTGTGAGGTTAACTTGAATACTGGAAACCGTAACACTTCCCTGTAGCTCACCCATTTTCCCGAATTCTATCTTATGGACTCGCAGGCTGGGTTTTAAGTGAACTAAATAAATTTGTTTAAATGCTTGCACTAACATTTAAAACTGGAAGTTATGTATAATACCATCAGGTTTGAACTCCCACAGCCTTTACCAAACAACTTAAGGAAAGCTATCACTGTTGCTATTGAGATTTATAAACAACTGAGATATTTCCGTATCACCAGATAATACACGCAAAATTTTAGTAATCTGTAACTTAATTCATAATAATAATACGAATTACTTCAATCGTAAAATGTTTTCTAAAGCTTCATCGTAATAAGAATAAAACTTACAATCGACTACATTTTTATAGTACCAAAAATAGTTTACTAGCTGTTCCAACCACCTTAAAATCAGGAATCAGCCAATGAACAAGCAAGCTCTCTTTTTACTTATTAGGCTCGTCACATTATTGGTCTTTGCTGATACTTTAAACCAATTAGAACATACAAGTTGAACTTTGTTTGAAATTATTTTCAAATCAATCTATTTTGACCAATCCTGTCATCAAAGCTTTATTTGTTCTGCTAAAAGAAAACTGTTAACGCGATTGAAAGAAGATGCTAACCTGAGATGACTCATTAAGAGAATGTGACAATGCCGTTCATTTTAATTGGTATTGGTTTAATATCTTAGCAAGGGCCAATGAGGAACAAGAGCCTCCGTATAAAAGAGAGCTTGCTTATTGACAAGCTGAGGCCTGAGGTTAATGAAGTTAGAAGAGTTAATAAAAACTACTTTTGTTGCCACAAAAATCGAATACAGATTATGTTTGTAATCTGTTCATTGGGAGCAACAGATATCTGAAAACCATAAGATTAAAAACGTAACCAGTCCCTTTCGGTGCACTGATTGTTTGTAATGGCGAATGCTTCTTCTTACATAGGTTCCAAGTTGTTATTTACTTAATATTTCTTGTGTAAATATTAATATTTAATTAATAAATGTCAATGTTGGTATAAATAAAATATGTTAAACTTCTAAAGTACCACACTTAGTTGGATGAGAACAGAAGTTTGAAGCAAAGCTTCTAAAAATACTGTAAAAAATTCCTTCCTTCACCACAACTAAGACAGTTTACTGTTTACTACAGATGGTCTAATAGAATCACAGGATAAAACAGAATACAAGGAGAACACTTGCCCTTCTGGCACGACGCTGATACTCCTGTGCTTCAATTAACTGGGTGCGAGCTCCTTCTACGTGATCTCCACTCTGTTGGACTTGGTATTCAATTCGGTCTACTAAATCACCCTAGATAATAATGTGCGTGTGCAAGTGCAAGAGAAGTTCAAATTTTATACAAAAAAAAATAAAAAAATCGGTATTAAAATACTCCAGTCTAAATAGTACCGATTCAAAGTGATCCCCAAACACTTTGCCTTAATATGTAAAAGAAATTCCATTCAAAGCTGCAACAAAATATGTTAGGGCACTAATTTCAATATTGACAATAAAACTCTTGAATTAGATGTAAAAACATTTTAGGTTTTACGTAAATTGGAAGAAATGAGAGGATTTTTGTTTCGGTAATCCAGACACATGTATTTGTTACATACAATATTCATATTGTATATACGAGATAAATTTAGAACACATTATATTTTGCAACTAAACTAGTTAAATACGAAACTTAAGTCAAATCTTGGAACAGGAGATCAATGTTATTAAAAATTACAACAAAAATGGACAAGTCTTTTGAAACTACGCGTTCTTTTTACGTCAGTCAGTAGTGCGTAATAAACTAACCACGTCAGTTTATTTTATAAAACGCTATTATATAAAATACACATATGTATATATAAATTTAATTTCGAAACTTTTTACTACGATTTTATGCATTCTGCTAAATAAATTTGGATAGGCCAAAACACACTTACGAAACAAGAGCAAGTTTAGGCTAAACGTCATAAGACCGAATGACAGGGATGTCCTCTCCTCCATCTTCTCCTGCACCCACTAAACATGAACTTTAAACTGAGGTTCGTTATCTACACAAGTACTGAGGAATCTTGCTGAAAACAATATAAATATGAACGCTTTTGCTTTAATGTTAATAAATTCATGGCCGCACTAATATTTTCTCGTGATCTAACGTTAACATTCATGTTAAACTTTCAAAATTTCATTTTTTTTAACAAGAGGCATTGGATAAAATTACACTAACAATTAAAATTCTACATGTGAATACTTGAAAATAATGGTAGAGGCATGTGATAAAATTACAATAACCATTAAAATTCTACACGTGAATACTTGAAAGTAATGGACAATTATGTAGAGGCATTTGTTAAGTTCTAAATAAATTGTAAGTTTTTTATTTATTGGCTTTTTCACTAACCACAAGTATTTATTTCGTCTCTCCTTATTTTTTTTTATTCACTTACATAGATGTTATTAGCTTGCAGACGTATGTCATGAATCAGAGATATCCATTTCTTCTTAGGACTAAAACATGTTTACATCATGATACGTTCTGAGCTTAAGTTTCATTCTGTTTTACCAGTTAAGTTTAGACTTAGATAGAAGGCCTTGCATATTTTACTTTAAACTCAGACAAGACTTCCTGTATCTATACAACCACGTATTTTGATGGCTTTTTGCTTTATATTATCGACTAGTTTAAGAACGCCGAGAGCGCTCCTAGCGACTGCTGCAGTAAAAAAAAACGTAGTGAGTCAAGCTAATAAATATAGCATGACGACAGCGTGTTCTTAGTGTTAAGAAAATCAGTGCGAAGTTCTTATTAATTTGTAATTAACGTGAAATTTTCTGATAAAACATTTGATAACATAAAACAAATAGTGTTAAATCTTATCAATAAATTGTTCACGAACATACCTTCACTTTACAAAGGTGCTGTAAAATGGCTGGTGATAACATTAAATGGCACACGTTTTAGAAGAATAAAACAAGAAAATAAAACTTTCATATTACAAACAACATAAAAATATGCTCAGCACATCCCAAAACCTAACGATTTTATAGCACCAATACATGATGATTGACTGGTCAATGCATAAACATGAGGAAACCAACTTATAACTCTGGCTTCATCATATACTTAATATCTTTATTAAATCAATGAGCGGCACTTATGGTTTTTCAATCGTTAATGAAATAATTGATTATACCTCTCATAAGACATTTGTATTAGGCCTAGTATAATAATTATTTCGATATTACTACTGTTATGTATCTGCTTGTTTGTTAATTTCCGATAGAATTTCTTTCCGAGGAACTTCAGCGATACAAGTCCCTTCTTGATTAAACCAGTTTATTCTTTCTCGATACAAACTTTTAGTACACAGTAATTCCACAGTCAGTACGTTTCTCGTCACTTTAAACTTAACAACTTTTATAATATACGCTATAAATTACAGCGATTCGCAATCTCGATAACTTCGCTCTCTACCAGTGCAAAACACACACTAGCTCGAAACAGAATCGTAAATTACCCGAAACTTACCGTGATTACTGTTCGTTTTATCATGCATTTATCATCGTATCCGCTGGCTTTTCTCACCAGGCTTATATACTAACAAAGAGGCTTCGCTAAAATTCGAGGAGTTCCCTGATAATTCGAGAAACTCAGTCACGCATGCGCCAGCAACGTCACGTGACTTCCGCTATCGTAACACTACTAGTGTCTTTTGACAAGCTTAGAAAAGACGTTCGCACCATAACCGGAATGAATTGAATATATTTAATTTTTGTCTACAGTTTCATTTATTTTATAAACAACAGTCTCTTTATTTAACAATAACAGAGATACTTGGTTCAGCTATCTATATCTACGCATTTGGATTTAGAATTTGTCACCTAAAGATATGCAAATATATTATTTATTTTTTGTCCTCACCATTAAAGCCACCTGTAAATAACACATTTTTTTACGTATCCTTCTACGAAATACTTGTCACCTTTACATTTATATTTTTGTTTTTCAAATAATGCATTAGGTTTTTGTGTTTAATAATAATTCGAATCACATAATGGATGTAATATCAGGCGCCTCATGCGGTTCTGTACGGTTAGGAACGGAAGAAGAGGTCTCGTGACCTGACTTAGTTACCACAGTGAACCGTCAATTACTGAATTTGTATACATTTACAGTACGCGTACAAACGGACTAAGGCAGGCCTATCAAGATGGCGGGGAGGCAGGAGGTATTTTCCCGTACCCACTGCCCACAAGGAGGTTTCTGAGAGAGGCAAAAAATGTGTACGAAATGTATCAAATCCGCAGGGCACGTTAAGCCAATATGTGTAACTGTACCTTCAATCACTTATATGTATGTACATGGCATCATTTCAAACACTAAACACTATCCAGGGGCGAGGTGGAGGATCGTTCTTCCTGGGGCCCATGATGCCACTCAGCAGCCCTGGACTCAGCGTCATATGTACTGCGTAAGTATTAATGAAAGTGTACATTGGAAAGTTTTTCCTTAACTATAGTATTATGTCCACCTATTGGTTTTATACTCTTACAAATACTATCGTGCTTATCTCTACCAGGTCAACTTTACACCCTTACAGTATTGTTATGTATATCTCTGCTATATTAGGCTCACACCCTTACAGTATTGTTATGTATATCTCTGCTATATTAGGCTCACACCCTTACAGTATTGTTATGCTTATCTCTGCTATATTGGGCTCACACCCTTACAGTATTGTTATGCTTATCTCTGCTATATTAGGCTTACACCATTACAGTATTGTTATGTATATCTCTGCTATATTAGGCTCACACCCTTACAGTATTGTTATGTATATCTCTGCTATATTAGGCTTACAGTATTGTTATGCTTATCTCTGCTATATTAGGCTTACAGTATTGTTATGCTTATCTCTGCTATATTAGGCTTACAGTATTGTTATGCTTATCTCTGCTATATTAGGCTTACAGTATTGTTAGGCTTATCCCTGCTATATTAGGCTTACAGTATTGTTAGGCTTATCTCTGCTATATTAGGCTTACAGTATTGTTAGGCTTATCTCTGCTATATTTGGCTTACAGTATTGTTAGGCTTATCTCTGCTATATTAGGCTTACAGTATTGTTAGGCTTATCTCTGCTATATTAGGCTTACAGTATTGTTAGGCTTATCTCTGCTATATTAGGCTTACAGTATTGTTAGGCTTATCTCTGCTATATTAGGCTCACACCCTTACAGTATTGTTATGCTTATATCCAGTACATACGTTTCATATGAGCTTAGTACAATGGGTAAAGTACATTTATCACCAGGGAAGCATGTAACTGATCAGTTATATAACGTCAGCACGATGATTCGGTTATAGTGCAAATCAAGTTAGACATGTAGTGTTTACTCGCTCGAGCTGAGAAAAATGTTTAATTTTTCTTTAATTTGATTTGGAATTTCAATTCTTGGTTTCTATAATTTCATACTATTCAGTGTGACTGTAAGTAAAGAATAACACTGACATATCACAATCTTTGTTTCTACAACGTAAAAACTTCTACTGAAAACGTAAATTTCTAACTTATTAGAATGTGGGAGAACAGCCCATAAGTATACCCTTTTAAAGTTTTATGTCAACATGGAGTTTTATTTACCCCCTTTAAAAATCTACAATAAATCTTTTTTTTTAAATCGTTTTTCCGGCTTATTATTTATTATCTAATTACATCTACTACTTCACATTCTCACAGAACTTTTATATAAAAAAACAAAAATCTTAACAGTTTCTTGAAACCTAGAAATCACTTTACATCGTTGGGAATGATAAATATGGAAACGCGAGAAAAAAAAAGAGCATAAAAGGCAGACATTGCGGGACAACAACTAGAGTTGTTACGTGTTAACAGCTTACACCGTGATTGGTTGTAATCCATATCAAAGTCAATGTACAAAGTTTGCAGTAAATCATCGTGCGGAGTCAGTACAAGTTTGGGGCTGCGTCTCAACTAAGATGTCTTTGATCCATAAACAACCAATGGTATCTGACTGCTGACATTGTAATTCATCACGCTACTCCCTCGGGAACACGATTCATCGGGTAGGGATTAGTTTTACAGCAAGACAATCGCAAGCATACAGTGACTGGGGTGAAACAACATTACGACGGTAAAAAAAAAAACTGATTGCACAAAATTCCGAAATGAACAATCCTGAGGCGTATATAAAAAATGAAAATTTTAAAAGGTGACCAAACTTTGACTGAGTTGTGTGGAGTAAATGTGGCCACTTGGATCAATATTCCACAATCTTACTTTGATAAACTG